TATATAAAAAAATAAAAAACTTGGTAACAACATAGTATATGTATGGGTAGGTGATCACATCCTGGTAGGTCTGATGTAGACACCCAAAATAACAGTCTTTTGGTTGATTACTGTTGTCTTGATGTCACCTTAGTTCAGGCAAGCATAATCAGTCAGGTGTGGGTGCGATGGGAGCTCTTTTGATGTCCCCAGGGCCCTACTCCTGATGACAGCTGGTCCCATGCTTGGCCTCCTGTAATACATAAACAACCTCCTCCCCACGACACCCCATTCTGCCCTTCAGACGGGGCTGGTGGGTCTACTTCCCTGGTTGCTTACTCCCTCAGGGCCCCCACACGAAGGTCCACTACAAGAGGAGAAGACTATGCCTACTCACCAACTCCGAGCCCCAAATGCTTCCCCTTTAATCAGACCTAGGGCTCACCTCCAGGCTGTGCTCGCTTCCCTCACTCATGCGACAGGTGGCTCAGCTCCTGCAGCCTCCAACACTTGTCACTCTGGCCCCCCAGTGAGATCCCTGCAGTCTCCTCACGGCGGTTTGTCCCTCCCTCAACTCCCCAACTATCCCCAATGGCCCACCTTCTGCACCAGATCCTGGCTGCAGAATTCTGGGGCTCTGAAAGGACCCTGTTTCCAGCCTCGGGTGGCAGAATTGCCCCAGTCCTTTTGTTCTGGTGTCCCCAGGGGGACAAAAAAATCTCCCAGGTGCAGCCTAGTTTTGGCTCACCATGGGACACCCCCTATGGGTGAGTATCCCTTCTGTTACAGTCTGTTACACTTAGTTTCTGGTAGCTAGAGAAATCAGTCACTGGTAATACCTAATGAACTTTTCTTCTCTCTGTCAGTAAACTCAATGTATGCATTTGTGTGTGTGTGTGTATGTATGTATATATATAGTATTATGACAGAGGGGGCACATCTACCATACAGCAAGCTACAGTGAGATAGCAATCATGTGGGACTACATGTGATCGCCAGCTACATCACCGTAGTGGTGAAATCTAATTGTGGGCCGCACACATGGTGCAGTAAACACCCATACTACACCACGCTTTAGTACTTCCAAAAGTACTAAAGCACAACATCGTAGGAATGTCGCCCTACAGCAACGTGTAGGTGCACCCAAGGAATAATACAGAGTAACACCTTGGAGACTAGCTTGTTTGGAGAGGCACAAGCTTCCATAAGCAACATCCTACCTTAATAGTATCTGATGAAGTAGGTTATTGCCTACAAAAAATCATGCCTTTGAATCAGTTAGTATGTAAGGTGCACTCTACCCTACCATTTGCCAGACTGCAGACTAACATGGTTAACCATTTGTCTGTTCATACAGTGTGAAGTGACTGACAAAGCCAATAAGGCTGTTTGAAAATTCTGGGACAGGTTCTTAGTTGGAGCAAGTCATTGTATTTCCTTTGTAGTTAGTGGAGCTGTGCTGGGTTTACAGCCACTGCAGGGCATAACATGTAGCCCACAATTTTTACAAAGGCCTCAATACCTCCTGCTGGGGCCTAATTTTTTCAACACCAAACATAATTATTCAACACATCCTATTGAGACTGATGAGTCCTGCTGTGTGCTTTTGAATATCTGGTTGTTTTATTCAGGTTTCTAAACAGAACTGAGGGTTTGCTGGTCTGTTGTTTTTTACTTTATCTGATCTCCTTCATGCTAAGCAAGTTTGAAAATGCGGGCCATGTCTCTTTTATTTAATTTTTTTTAAGCTTTGCCCCATGAAGGGATGCAGTACTTAAGGAGTCCATAGAGAACCTGTCAGTTACAACCTAGAATATTGGATAGTTTCTTATCTGTCTTGCCTGCATGATGTTAATTTAAACTAGTATCCCACTGCATTTTGAATGTACGGTTTTCTATCCATGAAAATAATATTAAGCATAGCTTTAAATATTGATCTGAAGTCTTAAGGCACCAAAAGTTATCTTCTTACAATCTATCATAAAATATTCATATCTGTGAAGTCAGGTGGATTCTGTTCTTTCATTTGGTTGGCAGAAAAATCAAATATCTTTTGAAAGACTTTTTATAAAGAAAATTTCTTATTGAGTGTATTTTTTGCATACTATAAGATTGGCTTTTGTGAGGTTTTTTCCACCATAAGTCTCAATGTTTTGATGTAGAAGGTGTTAAGACTCATTATTTTTGCTTCTGCAGTCTTGAATTAAAGTTTCGTTTTAATTTTTAAAAAGCCTTACTTAACATTTAAAAAGAAATTTAGAAAAGCCCCCTTGTCATGCTGAACAAGATATTCTAACTTCCAGCTTCCTTCAGGGAGAAACACTAAACAATGACTAGCGCATCTTCTGACTTTTTTTTGAAATTTATTTCAAGTAAAATTTTAATTTTTATGTCATACTCCCTGTCACAATATCTGTCTGTAAGGGTGCACCAATAGAGATTTTGGGGCCGATACCCATAGCCAAGGAGGCATATTGGCCAATAGTGATCCAATTTCTGATACAGCTGCGTCCAGCTAGTAAGTCTGTTGTGGTGAAAGGGGGGCGGAGATCAACATGCCAGGGCAGGGTGGACACGGAACAGACCCACAGCTTGTCAGGAGGGGGAGTTGGGGAGCAGCTTCTGCCACTGCAGGCCACTCACCTGGCGGCTCCCGCCGCTGCTCCCACCACTTGTTCAGGAGGGCACCGGGGGGGGGCGGGGCAGGGAAGGGG